CCAATATAAAAGAAAATTATTACAAATAAAATTCAATATCAAAATTGCTCTACTATGTTATCTCACTAAATAACTTATAAGAGTTTTGCTTTGTTTATATGCAAACTTTGTTGGAAATTTTGAAAAATAATGTGCTATATTTTCACCTGACAATCTTTCTAGCATCTATATTCCCAAAGTATTGTCTTGTACTTTTTCTATGTAAAGCACTTGGCAATAGAGCTTGCCATTGGGAAAGCTTCCAATAAATGTTAGGCATTGCCATCATCATCATCACTGTCTTAACAAATAATCATTTGTCACATTATGTTTTTAAAGCTAGTGAACATGTTAGACTTCCCCACTGGACTAAATGGCTCAAGAGTAGGAACTTAGTAGGTTCTAAATAACATTTTCTAAAACAAATACTGCCATGCCTCACTCACTGTGCTTTGCTTTATTGAGCTTTCCAGATATTGTTTCATCAAAATTGAAGCAAGACCCTCCACCAACAAAAACGTTATGATTCTCTAAAAGCTTAAAAGATGGTTAGCATTTTTTAGCAATAAAGTATTTTTTTAAAATTAAGGTCAGTAAATATTTTTAGATCTAATGCTATTCCACACTTAAATATAACTTGGATATGCACTGGGAAACAAACAAAAAAAAATCTGTGTGACTTTATTGCACTATTCATTGTATAGCAGTGGTCTGGAACCAAACCTACAATATCTCTGAGGTATGCTGGTAAATCCCTGTGTTCACAATTAGATCTTATAGCAATGTATCTTAAAACCCATAAGCAGGCCTGGCCAGTGTGACTCAGCGGGTGAGTGTCAACCTATGAACCTGGAGGTCATGGTTTGATTCCAGGTCAGCATATATTCCCGGATTTTGGGCTCAATCCTCAGTGTGGGGCATATAGGAGGCAGCCAATCAATGATTCTCTCTCATTGATATTTCTCTCTCTCTCTCCCACTTCCTTTCTCTCTGAAATCAATAAAAAATACATATAAAAAAAACAACCATAAACTCATAGGCAGTTTGTTTCCGTTTCTATTTCTAATTCACCTTTGTCTTGAGGGAAGAGAGATGTGGCCAAAGTGGTGCCTTCTCCATGATTCTTGACCACTGTTTCCAAGGAGAAGCCCCATTGTTTCATCCAACTGATACTAGAGGTAAGGATATGGCAGACTTAAACTCACTCATTCCAAAGGTGGTTTCCCTCATGTATGTCCTCCTTCAGCTATCACTCAACTAGATCCAGCTATCCTCTCTTCTGTGCTGTGCATCAGGGGGGAAATCTCCAAATAGGACCAAGATAGAGCAATTCTCCTGCCTTACAGACAATTTAAAGGGGTCCGATCATTATTTTTGCTGTCATGTCAAATGTTTCTTATCCCATGTTCCCATTCCCACTAAATACTAACAACTGTTTATAAATTCCTGGCATCTAGAAAGGTTAAGGGCCTAGTTCCAGAAGCTTATGTGTCAGGAAATGTGAACTCTGAAAAACAAAAGTTTTTACTGAGGCTTGGCTGAGTTAGCACACTCTGCAATCTTTTTGGAACCACCAAACTTTATTGTGCATAAGAATTACTTGGGGCTCTTAGAAAAAATTCCTGATTTCTCCTCCCAAAAGATTCTGCTTCAATAGGTGTGGGGAAAGGTCAAGAATCAGCTTTGTAATAAGTCATTCCCCCACTTCTATGCAAGCAATCCATGACCAAGCTGTACTCTGATCCCCAGGAATACTGGAGGAGAGAATGAATGATCACTAATGCAACCTCATATTGGTAAAACAGCCTTCACTGTATTACGTGGTGACCACTGCTCAGAAGCACGATCACATAATTGCTAGGAGTTGGGGAGTGGAGGGTGAGTGTGGGTATAGATGTGTCCAGAAACAATTAAGAGTTTCTATCTATGAAGTTAAACACTTGGAATTGGTTTTTCTTTTCTCTCTAGAAGATGAAGCTTATTTAGGATATATCTATTTTCAATAAACTAAACAATCTTTTAGAAATGATCCTTTTTAAATCTTATACCTCTAAAAATTATTTGTAAATTCCTGTCTCATTAACAACTGTGCCATTTTCCCCTTCAAGAAATGATTGTTTAAATCAGATGTTCTGGGTGCATAGTTAACAATGGAACTTAGGTCAGGTATGAATCTTGGTCCTGGAGTACACTTATTATGGAGCATCAAAAAAATACAAGCATCATATGACATCCTACTGTACACTTTCCTCTTTGTCACATATTAGTGTCATTGGGTTGGGATGGTAGATGTATAATTTATTTCCTAGAAACCTCTTAAGCCTCAGCAAATAGACCCTAAATTGGTGAGCCTGCGTCTCAGATCCTAATCATGTCTAGACCTGTCTGTTTCTCAGCATGAACATAGGCCATTATTCTGAAGATAGGACACTAGATTTCGATAAAGAGAATGATAGTTGCTATAAATATAGAAGTCAAGTATAATTTCAAGTTCAGGTTCTTCATTGTTATAGTGTAATTTTTAAACATTCAACATTTTCATTTCTTTGTTTTGAGTCATGACCCTTAAAAAAATCAATAAACGTAATTAGACTTACTGAATTTCTTTCTCTTTGCTTCTAGGAATTAATTTGATAAGCCATAACTAATTTAGTGAGCACGTTTGCAGTAAAAATATGTTATATATCTGACACATTGTATACAATTGTGCACTGGAGTCGCTTCAAAATGCTGCCTACAGCCCCAGTTATGAAAGTTCAGAGCTGCAGGAGGGCTTTAGGGAGACCCCTATGGTATAAGAAAGGAGGGTTTCTTTCTTTTAAAAAAATATATTTTATTGATTTCTTACAGAGAGGAAGAGAGAGGGATAGAGAATTAGAAACATTAATGAGAGAAAGTCATCGATCAGCTGCCTCTTGCACATCTCCTACTGGGTATGTGCCCACAACCAAGGTATCAATACATGCCCTTGACCAGAATCGAACCTGGGACCTTTCAGTCCACAGGCCAACGCTCTATCCACTGAGCCAAACCAGTTTCGGTAAGGAGGGTTTCTTATTTCTTGATTTCTTTTACATAAGGCCTATCCTCAAGTGTAAATCAATTTGCTGCTCATTGAAATCTTGTCAGTTCTGAGAGAAAAGTATTCTGGAGATAATTTGAAATCAAATCCATGGGATTTCTGACCCAGAATCCCTGACATTTGCTAGTTGGGCTCAATAGGAAGATCTAACAGCCAAGGAAGCCCTTACCAGTAAGGACACAGCGTGCTACAGAGGCTTTACATTCAGCACCTCATTCTGTTGTCTTCCTTCCAGGGCTATCATGCTTCCCTACAAGACCTCATCTCCCCTCTCCTCATGGTGGCTTTCAGTGTTTACCAAGTATCTATCAACCAATTTCTGGTAAGTGGAGAGGCCAGAGAACTGTGGTGGGGGTAGTAGACTGTTATTAAGCTTGTCTGAGTGGCACAACGCACTGGCCAGTGATTTTCCCATCAGCCTGTAGTCTGTGGGGGGAAGCCCCTTTTCCTTCTGCCCCAGCTAGCTGGAAATTTCATCATATATCTGAGATGCTAGGAAATGATGCAGGCTGGGCAGGACCTAACTCCTCTCAGTTTGTTTTCTTTCTCAGGACATGGGAAAGTTTTCCCAGTCACTAAAAAAAAAAAAAAGAAGAAGAAGAAGAAGAAGAAGAAGAAGAAGAAGAAGAAGAAGAAGAAGAATAAATGACAGCTAAACTCCTAAGTGTTTTTTTTTCTTGTTGTTGTTGTTGTTGTTGTTGTTGTTGTGTGTGTGCGTGTGCGCATGTTTAAAAAGACCCTAGGTTTTGAAAGGAAGAAGGATGGGGGTGGGGACATTTTCTTAACTTCAATATATCAAATGTTCGATGATTCACTGTGTATTGAAAAGGCTGGTGCCTGGGCACCCGTTGTTGCTTTTCTGGATAGGTGAGTTGGGTGTAGCCCAGCCTGGTGTGCACACCTAAGCAGCAAGCGGCAGGACACACCTGGGCTTGCTTTCATCTCTGTCTTGTTGAAATTGTGTGACCTGAGTCTTCCAGAGAGGGGGCACTCAGCAGCTGAGCCTGTGGTAAGTATGCATTTTACCAGGGCCTCTGGCAGCAAGAGCCCCATGTTGGTTAGCTAACATACTAGTGACATGGACTGTTTAAAGTTCAGGGAGGTTTTGGCTAGATTAGAGAAGGGGAGTGGTACCTGGGCAAGTCATTGGGAGGGCCTTTCAGCGCTTTAGAAAATATATCCTGCTGAAACCTGCCTCCTCTGCAGTTTCTATCTGCGAGCTGTTTAGAGCCAAATTGTTATAGTGTTTAATAGGACCAGGGAGCACTATTTATATAGGAATCTGGATATTAAGTACCCACTGTCAGCTTGCTATTTCTTGAGAACAAAAGAAAACAAGATGCCCTAGGTAGTCATGAGGTTGGAGGAAACTAGAAGTGGTTAAAAGGCATTTTGCTCTCAGATCCCACTTTACCAAGTGGGTAGGGAGTTCCCCCTTCTCCCCCTCTTTTTCTCTACCAAAGCAATAAATGGCATTAGACCTCTTTATCTGATTTCACATTAGCGACAGTCTATTGACACACTGGATAAATGTTCAGAAACCCAAGTTCTAATTCTGAGAAGCTACACAAATCTATGTCCCTGCCCACCCACTCCCTCTCTGTAACTGTTGTTCACCTTCACACAGTGATGAAGCTCAGATGCTGACTCTAACATGCATGGAACTCGCCCCAGGCTGCTGACTCTCCCAAGAACAGGACTGTAGAGAGCTCAGACCAAGCCCAGCTTCCTGTGCATGAGGGATTTCTAGGCCCAGACCACAGCCCTGCTGAGTGAGACCCCTGTGTCGAGATCAGACATGTTATGAAGACGCAGAAGCCTCATTGCCCTCTCACCCCATTCATTGCCCTCTCACCTGGCCACAGGCCACCTCTCCAAGTAATCATCAGGCCGAGCAGACACTTACCTGCAAGCCATTTTTCTTAAGATTTGGCCTCACCTGTGGTTTCCGCAGAATGACCCTCTTCCTGAATATTGTCACTGTGACTGAGGATGACGAAGAGCTAAGGTCTCCCTTGCTCATGGGTAGAAATTCATTTTGTTGATTGAAAAAGAAAAGAAGAAAGGCTTGCTTTGGAGGGTCTCTCAGGCTGGTAGTCTGTGAGAATGCTATCAAAGGTGAGCAGGCAGCATACCTGACTGATGAATTGATAGTCATTACTGCCAGAAAGTGTGGGAGTGGTAGCTGCTGGCAAGAGCCACTATTTATTTATTTATTTATTTACTTTTTTGAGAAGGAGTTCAGAGGCAACTCCCTCCATGCAGGCACCAACCATCTGGCAGGAGTGTGCAGGAATAGGGCATGAAGGAAAAGTGTGGGGGTGCGGTGTATGAACGCAGCACAATGGGTTTCTATCAATGAAGTAAAGAACTGGTTTTCCTTTTGATTTTATTTAAATAGCTTTATTGAGGTATATCCCTCCAGAGAATAGAGGAAAATTTGCCTGGAGAATACGAATGCCCATTCTTCCTTCAAAGGACTACTTAAAAAGGAGACTTTAGGCATCCAGCTAAGAGTCTAATGGGACACCACCAAGTGCCCCAGTGCATTGGCTTGAACATGGCTACGCTCAGCTAAGTAGGAGCTGCCACATTTTAGGTTGTGGCTTGTCATGTCGCCTTATTACTAGTAATTCCAGAACTCTTCCCCCAAATTTCTACTCTCGAAAGGGAGCTGTAGTCTCAGGGATATTCCTTGGAATTGCAAATGAGACCCAGCTCTAGGGCAAGTTTAGAATCTCGTGGGCTATGTTTGGCCCAGGTACCATCCCTTTGGCCACTTTGGATGGTGCTATTATTTTTAAATTGTGGGGCAATTATTGTATTCCTTTGCACAGCCTTTACTTGGAGAGTCTTAAAGATCTTTGCATCAGTTCCATTCCATCACAGCCCTTTTAGCAATGACCATTCTCTTGCATTTTATACTAGAAAAACAAAATTCTTGCTGAGGCAAACTAACTCCCTTTAACCAAGTAAAGGACACCCTTTGGAGAGGAAAGCACATACTTATTCACCTGGGATGACCTTAACTCACATCTTCCCATTACACACAAATACCTGTCCTGTTCTTAGCCAACCTCCTGGGTCCCAAGCAATTCTCTTAGGGAATTGGATTTGGTTTTGTTTTTCTGTCTCTAGCTATTTCCTGCTTTATTATTCAACAGCCTAAATTTAGCTCCACACTCCATCTTTATAGCCCAGATTTCCAATGTGCCATGAAAGCAAAAGTAACTGAGTGGGAGGCATTGGAGAGGTACTGGGGGCAGGGGCAGAAAGGAGGCACATGAGGGCTAGTAGGGAGGAGGAGAAGTCATCATATTAGCAGAGCTGGATGCTGACATTCTGAGAGGCTGCTCTCCGCACATAACAAGTCCCAGGACCACAGAATCCCTTTAATTCACCTGACGGGAGGTGCATCACTGCCTGCCATGAAATAAGTAATCGGTTCTTCCTTTGCTATATTCTATGATGTGCTGGCACAATGCATAGTACTTGCTAAGCACTCCAGGCAAAAAAAAGAGCCACTCACTTTGATTAACTGTCAGAACTAATTCTCATCCATGTTATTATACAATAAAGAGGAAAAAGGAAATCCAAGGAAACTGTGCTAAAGGCCAGTGCCTAATCAGGTTTCTTTCCCTTTCATCTGTTTCATAGAAAAACTTCCTGGAATCACTGGTGTGAGCCATTAGGTTCCGCTCCTCAAGTGTTAATTAATTAAATGTGATATTTTAAAATATATACACCTCTTTCCAGGTAAAACAATCCAAGCTCTTTGTAAATTGCTCAATGCCCGCTGGTCCCTCCTCACGCAGTTCTACTTCATTGCCCTGTACCTTCTTTTCCCCTGTTGGGCCACAACTCCAGCAGCAATAAGTATAGAGTAATTATTTCTGCCAGAAATGTTTCCCCTGAAAGGGGCTTGCCTTATTTTGGTTGTATGTGTGTGCTTGAAAGAAAGGCATGTAATAATATCAAGCCTCTTTGTTTTCCCTCTTTTATTACCCACTGGTTCTCTAAGATGTCATTGGCAAACACAACACCATTTGCTTTTGTTCCCTTTATAAATTTTTTCCACTTGAGCCCTATTTCTTACTTACAATTGCTAAGTGTCTTGCTATGAAAAGCAACTGTTGCAAAGCAGTAGACTGAATGAACACAGCCTGTGTGGTTTTGATTTAGGAAACATTCAGCTTTTGGTCTGAAATGCCCTGGAATCAGAGCAGTTTATAGTCTCTTGGATTCTTGAAGGCAACTCAAATGGTAGGTATGTGTGTGTAAGGTGAGAGCTGGGGGCAGATGGGAAGACGTGGAATATCTAATTGATTTGTCATGTCTATTGCAATCATGCTATTATTCACTCAATAACAATTGCTGAATGCCTACATCTGTGTTTGCTACTCCTGGACAAGTAATCCCCAAAAGGTGACCATTCACAAGTAGAAAGCTTGTGTTAGATACTCTATGTCATGGAGGTCAAGAGACCAAACTTCATCATTGTCACAATCTATGTAAGATATAAACCCTATCCAGAAATCTGGAGACATTGAACACTTCCCTATCTTGAAAGAAAGCTTACCAGAAGATGCTTAAATAATTAAGAACTTTTAAAAGGAAAAATAAATAAATAAAGTTTATATTATGTCAACAGACAAATCACATTATCGCCTCTCACTCTAATAAGGCCTAAACATTCTGTTTTACATTGTGCCAGGCTCATTTCTTGCTAGAATTCATTGTAATAAGATGCTTGAAAATATTCTTTCTGTCCAGGTTCAGATGCAACAAATCTAATCTACATTAAGCTATGACAAGAGGACAGACAATTATGAATCAGAGGCTTGAATAACATCCTCAAGATTCTGCCTTCTCCATCTGAGAAATGTGCCTACCACTCTTCAAAGAGACTCCAGTTTTAATTTGATCATACCACTCATTCCCCCAGAAGAAATGGTCTGTACCTCACCTTAGACCAGGTTCTACCAACCAAGCCTTGTAGAACGTCAAGCAGTGATTCCTTAGTTTGATCCCATCAAACTCTTAAAAATATATACATATATTGCAGAGAGGAAAGGAGAGAGAGAAACATCAATGATGAGAGAGAATCATTGACTGACAGCCTCCTGCACATCTCCCACTGGGGACCGAGCCACAACCTGGACATGTGCCCTTACTGGGAATTGAACTGTGAGCTCCCCGTTCATAGATCAATGCTCAAAAACTAAGTCATACCAGCTGGGCTCCCATTAAGCTCTCCATAGGTTAGGCAAACATCCCAGGATTCTTAGAAGTATGTGACTAGGTGAACTTTGAGGAACTATCATTTCTAGCATACATCTAAGTTTGCAAGACATCAGGACAAATGGTGGAGGACAAGGACTGGCTCTTCTCTTCCTGTGCAGCCCACCATCCCTAGTCTAGTGCTAGCATTGGGGAGGACATATGAAATAACGCTCAATGTCACTAATCATCAGAGAGATGCAAATTAAAACTACAATGAGGTATCATATTGCCAGAAAGCCTACCATAAATAAATCAACAAACAACAAGTGCTGGCAAGGATACGGAGAAAAAGGAACCCTACTTTACTGCTGGTAGGAATGCAGACTGGTGCAGCTACTATGAAAAACAGTGTGGAGTTACCTCAAAAAAATTAAAAATGAAATTGCTATTTGACCCAGTGATCCCACTTCTAGGAATATATCCTAAGAATCTCAAAACACCAACCAGTAAGAATACATGTACCCCTGTTTTCATAGCAGTGCTATTTACAGTAGCAAAGGTCTAGAAACAACCCAAGTGCCCATCAGTAGATGAGTGGATAAAAAAGCCATAGTACATTTCTACCATGGAATACAGCAGTAAAAAAGAAGGATCTCTTACCCTTTGAGATAGCATGGAGGGACCTTGAGATTATTTTTTTAAATATATTTTATTGATTTTGTACAGAGAGGAAGGAGAGAGATAGAGAGTTAGAAACATCGATGAGAGAGAGTCATCGATCAGCTGCCTCTTGCACACCCCCTACTGGGGATATGCCCACAACCAAGGTACATGCCCTTGACCGGAATCGAACCCGGGACCCTTCAGTCCCCAAGCCGACGCTCTATCCACTGAGCCAAACCGGTCTCGGCACCTTGAGATTATTATGCTAAGAGAAATAAACCAGTCAGAGAAAGACAAATACCACCTTATCCCACTTATATGTGGAATTTAATGCACAAAATAAACTGATGAGAAAAATAGAACCAAAGGCATGATGACATAGAACAGACTGACAAATCTCAGGGGAGGGAGGGGTAGTGGGAAGAGATTAACCAAACAATTTATATGCATATATGCATTGACCATGGACTCAGACAACAGGATGGTGAAGGCTTGGGGTGAGGCAGGAACCAGGTGGAGGAGGACAAGAGTGGAAAAGAAGGGAACATTTGTAATACTTTCAACAGTAGAGATAAATAATAAAATAAAATAAAATAAAATAAAATAAAATAAAATAAAATAAAATAAAATAAAAAATAGTTCAAGTTTTCAAGTTCCATACAAGAGAGCTTTGAAAAGGCCTTGTGGTAGCCGAAACCAGTTTGGCTCAGTGGATAGAGCGTAGGGTTGCAGACTGAAGGGTCCTAGGTTTGATTCTAGTCAAGGGCATGTATCTTGGTTGCTGTGGGCACCAAGTGGGAGGTGTGTAGGAGGTAGCTGGTGGATGTTTCTAACTCTTTATCCCTCTCCCTTCCTCTCTGTAATAAAAATCAATAAAATATATTTTTTTAAAAAGAAAAAAAAAGGCCTTGTGGTAGATTATGTTTTCAAGGTGTCTAAAACAATATTCATTCTATAGCTCTTTTACACTATAATCTTGCCACTTTCTATTAGACAGGTGGGGCCTCTCTACCCTCCAGGAATCTAGGCTTGCCCAGTGACCTCTTTTGATGAATATAATGCTGCCAAATTACCTCTCAAATCTTGCCTTTACTTTTTGGAAGGCTCCTTCTTAGAATCCAACTGCCATACTATTAGGAAGCCCAAACAGACAAGTCCATATGAAGGAGAATTGGAGCT